ACTGGGGGTGTAAGCCAAGTACATAGACGACAGTCCATTTGGATGACTTAGTAAACCAGAGCTATGAAACATTATAAGTGGTATGACGTGTCCAGTGTTGCTTTCTTGCTTGGCTGTGACGAATTCAGAGCCAACAAATGCCCCACAGAATTATGACCGAGTTTGTGAGCGGAGTAGAAAAACTCGGTCGTATGTATGTGATGTAATGTTTTTCACACTAAGTCATATAATGTTATGTTATGTTACATCATGTATGTCTGTATGTATGTATGTATGTATGTATGTATGTGCGTATATGCGTATATGCGTATGTGTGTATGTATGTATGTATGTATGTATGTATGTATGTATGTATGTATGTATGTATGTATGTATGTATGTATGTATGTATGTATGTATGTATGTGCGTATGTGCGTATGTCTGTATGTCATGTATGTATGTATGTATGTATGTATGTATGTATGTATGTATGTATGTATGTATGTATGTATGTATGTATGTATGTATGTATGTATGTATGTATGTATGTATGTATGTATGTATGTATGTATGTATGTATGTATGTATGTAGTATGTATGTGTGTATGTATGTATGTATGTATGTATGTATGTATGTATGTATGTATGTATGTATGTATGTATGTATGTATGTATGTATGTATGTATGTAGTATGTATGTATGTATGTATGTATGTATGTATGTATGTATGTATGTATGTATGTATGTATGTATGTATGTATGTATGTATGTATGTATGTATGTATGTATGTATGTATGATGTATGTATGTATGTATGTATGTATGTATGTATGTATGTATGTATGTATGTATGTATGTATGTATGTATGTATGTGCGTATGTCTGTATGTCATGTATGTATGTATGTATGTATGTATGTATGTATGTATGTATGTATGTATGTATGTATGTATGATAGATATATAGATAGAGAGATAGATAGATAGATAGATAGATAGATAAATAGATATATATATATAGATAGATGGATAGATAGATAGATAGATAGAGAGATAGAAGGATAGAAGGATATAGATAGATAGATAGATAGATAGATAAACAAATAGATGGATAGATAGATAGACAGATAGAAGCATCGATCGATAAATAGATAGATCGATAGCTAAATAGATCGATAAAAAGATAGATAGATAGATAGATCGATAGGTAGATAGATAGATACATACAAGGATAGATAGATAAATAGATAATTACATAGATAGACAACTAAATAGATAGATACATGGATAGATAGATGGATAAGGAGGTAAGTACATAGTCAGAGAAAAAGAAAGAAAGAGATGCGGGCCAGGGGGGAATCGAATGGGGGGGCCCCCCCCCCCTAAGTCTCCGTTCGTGACTCTCGGGTCTCAATTTCCGGGAAAGGAGCAGCCACCTCCCCCAGTACTAAACTAGTACTAAAGTACATAGAACTCAGGTAGCCTAGGCTACCTTTCGTGATAAGCAGCCCCGACCTTGGGGGCATTAGGGCCCTCTTCCAAGCTTGTCACTGTCACCATGCTCACGTACAGTGATCTGTCCTGAACAAACAGCGCAATAGGTACCAATCCATCTGGGCACTGCAGGACTTCTGTGACAGTTGTGTTGCTTGGGTGGAAGGCCAACACCTTTCCTTGATCCCAGTCAGCAACATAAATTGTTCCACCGTCAGTTACAAACAGGTCTGTCAGCTCAGACGGGAGGATTTCGGCCACCACGACAGGTTCCAATGACTCAGCTGGATTGATGCACAAAATGCAACCATTTTCATGTTCCAAAAGATAGATAACCTCTTCCTTGGTTACAGACACCCGGATGGCTTTGAACTGCTTGTCTACTGGAAGACTCTCGGAGGCAATCACAGTCTCGAGCGTGGAGCCAACCAACTTTTGCAATGTTCTCCCATTCCGGCTCAACACATACAGCACTCCGTTGGGTGAGCAAAACAGGGCCTCAGCATCAGTGTCATCAATAACCAAGTCTCCAGAATTGTTTTGAAAACGAAGAATCCTCCGATTCTCGTCATCTGACACGAAGATCTCCCCGCTGGGTGAGATAGCCAGGACATAAAGACTCCCCAAGTCATTGATTCCAGTCACCTCACTGCCTTCACCCGCCACAGGTCGCACGCAGCTTGAAGGGTCGCCGGGTTTCCAACTGAGGATGCGGCGACCCCCCCAGTCCGCAGCAAAAAGTTCACCTTGGTGCCAGCACAAACAGCAACATGGCAAGGACAGTACCTCTCGCCCTGAAGCTTCAATGCTGACTGTACTGGCGCCTAAAAGTGGTGACCAGTGCTGGAAACAATGCCTCTTGGACGGACTTTGGGTTCTCTTTCGGGAGGTCAGTGCGCTCTCAACTTCCCGTGCAGGTCGTCACCACTTGGACCAGAGAGAGTTGTACGGCCAAGGCGAAGCAAATTCTCAATGGAAAGTGAATTGAAATGTACATGTTGCAGCAACATGCCCAGAAAGGCATGTCCGTCCTTGGAAACTTTTTTCCAGGCAAATAATGCATTCACCACTGCCTCTTCCCGTGAGACACCCAGATCTTCTCTTTTCAAAATTCGGGCCAGCTGACTTGCAGTAAGCTTCCCAAAATCTGGATGCTGGCTGCAAGTCTCAAAACTCTTCAGCAACCTTATCCTCGCATGCAGCTCTCAAAGAATGTAGTCCATGCGCTTCTTGCAGAACTTGCAGGGCAACACTGCTGTCCAAGCAGGCACAGATGCCAGCCTCAATTTCACCTGCTAGCTTTGGCAGGTCGTAAGCCTCTGCCAGTCTTAGGAGTTCAAGCCCAACTTCCACTGGTACTTCAGGCTGCCCACCATAGATGTAGTCCAGCAACGCAGACACTGCCTCTTTGGACGCAGCGATTTCCACTGGCTGCTTCTGTTGCACCCTCTCTGCTTCGAGAAACGACCCACCCAGCAGATTCTTAAAAAATACGCTTGCAGCTGATACCACGGCCGTATGGGCACGATGCTCTGTGCCGTCATGGCTCTTCAGCACCACATCGCAGAATTGGTCGTCCATCCAGAAGTGTCGCAACTGCTGCATGATGTCGGCCCTGTGCTGGGCCGGATTTGAGTGGTCAAGCTTTACAGCTCCCATGGCACTCTACACGCCGCTCCGGAACAGCCGACTGCGAATCGTCTAAAATGCAAATTCTCTCTCTCTCTCTCTCGTTTTGGGATTGGATATAGTCAAATTGAAATCCAGCAGATGTATGATAAGGATGCATATTCCAATATATCAATCCCAGAGGCTGTGTGATGAATAGCCGGCTGCGGTGCGCAGAGAAGCTTAGTGATCATGCTGGTAGCCAGTGTTGCAGAGTGGGTTGAAGATCCAAAGCTATTTCCCCTTTGAGTTAATGAGTTTCCCTGCCAGAAAAGATCACCAAATCATGGATCCTCGGGGTTGCAAATGCTGGTACGAGTAATTCCGGTTCAATTCCTCAGATCTTTCACCGGGCTTCACTCAAGTATCTATCAGTTCCAACCCTGCCAAAATGTCATTTGTCCAACTTCACCCAGAAGAAAATGCCAAAAAAAACGGCGCTTCAGTTTTCCGCGGATCTTTTCATATCTTTTCCATCTTCCCCAAGCCATGCCCATCGCCAGGTGACCCTCTCGCCAGATTCACCGGCAGATCCCAGAGCTGCGGCAGCAGCAGCGCCAGGACCAGAAAACTCCGCGCGTCCGTGGAACCTTCGAGGGTCGCAGGGGTGGGTCGCTCGGATGGATGTGCCAAAAGAGGAATATACTGTATATATATGTATGTATGTATGTATGTATGTATGTATGTATGTATGTGCGCATATATATATATGTATATGATACATATGAAAAAGAACCAAAAAAAACTTGCCATGTATATAGGATAGCCCTAGTATCTCAATATCATTATTGCGACATCATGTCAATATAGGACCAGTTCCAAGGTTTCATGCATGATATTTCATTGTATCACTATTTATGGGTATAGTCTGGATCTCTGTATAAATCGAATTCCCTTAGCAACCATCATTTCTGAGGCAGCCAGCAAGGTCCTTGGGATCTGCCCAGATATCTAGACCAAATAGTATAAATTCTTGGCGATACATATTTTATATATACATACCATAATAATATCCCAGAATATTTCATTATCCCATGTATGTATGTATGTATGTATGTATATATATACTCTATGTACCACGCCATGGTACCTCAACGTTTTGACCTCTTCCCTACCTCCCGGCTTCGACAGGGCACTGGTGCCACTCACTTCCGGCGCCGGCTGCGCATGGAGCCCAAAGTGCGCCATGCCTGAAATCGACAAGTTGAGGCCCCCCAAGTCGTTGATGAAGGATAGAACCATAGTTAAAGCCTATACCCTCTGGTTATGTCAAAATAGCTATTGAAAATGACCATAGAAATAGCGGATTTACCCATTGAAAATGGCGGATCTTTCCATAGTTTTTTGTACGTTTACCAGAGGGTAATGTCCACATATCATAGTTATATGATACACTTAATGGATACTGTAGATACTATGGTTAACAAGTTAAAGCACCATGCAGTTAATCGACTACAAGGCTCTTTACAAATCCCCCTAATCAACCAACCCTGGTGTTTCTAGAGGGGTATTTCATATAGGGGAAGGGATTGACTAGCCTGTTATACATGAATATAATGTAACTGGGATAACCCATTCCTAAATGGTTGAGGGAATACATGACCAACAATGTCATATTTGGACTTTTTTAAAGCTGGGGATGCCTTGTTTGATGGCGCAAAAACGCGAATTGAAACATGTTCCAGACTTGGTTAGAAGAAGAATCAGATAATGCCAGTTGTTTAAGAAAACTGGGAGTCAACCAACCGAAACGCTACAAAAATGATCTCAAACAGGGCCGCCATACAAGAATTACGTGTTAAATTCCTTGAATTCGTTGAGTAAACTTGCAGGGTCTAGCCCATATTTGGGAGCGATAAAAGTATTGATGTCCTGTAGATTTCCCCCAAATATCGGAGACTTGGTACTCAAAGTTCTTGGTCGCTCCCAGATGGGGTATGTTCAGCAACTGTGGAGATGGAACCCAGAAAAATGAGGAGATATATATATATATATGGGTATGGGTCAAAATTAGGTACCCCAATAATTGGATGGTTAATACTAAACTAGACTAACATCTGTGGTCCCCTAGGTCTTCCATTTTGACCCACATCCATATAAACCTCCAATTTTTGACGGAAAAGGATCACTTTACCACTAAGCTAGGATTTATTTCATTTCACCAAAATCAATTTTTGCCGGGGTGGAATACTTGGTTGGGTTACACAAACCTAGTTATATCGTCCACCCCCAATTTTGATATATGGGATGATTAACATGACGACCCTGAGTGGCCTTCATCGGGGTTGGGAGATTGGTGACACCACTAAAAATTGTGATTTTTCAGGGTCTATTATGTCCATTTACTGGAGGGTATGATATGACAATAGCTGTCCCATAATGTTATGATAGTTGTGATCTATTTCCAAATGTTCTATATAAATAGTAGTAATCCCATAACAACAATAAAAATAACAAAAATCCATCAGAAATTCATTCTGGAGATTTGATTGACTCACCACGCGCCTGCGGTCAAGAAGACCCAACAGCTGACCACGTAGGCGGAGGCTTGGTCCTGACCGCTGCTTCGCTTGGTGGGCGAAAAACTCAGTGGCTGCGGCTTGGGAACATCTGGATCTATCTCGAGAATCTATGTACAGTATATATGCATATATATGTATATATATATTATAATATATATATATATATATTATTATATATATATATATGTATATGTGTGTGTATGTGAGCTTCTATACATACAAATACTGAATGTTGATTTTGTATTCATCACATTCTCTCAAATGTTACTAGGAAAATCCAAAACCAGATTTCCGGCAGTGACATTGATGGTTTCCCCTGCGTCTTGGTCATCCGTTTAGTGGTCTTGGACGGCCATGAGGGTCGCTGGCTCCAGAAACATTGATTGCTTGTGGTTCAAAACTTGGAATCTAACCCAAACCATCCATAGTTTTTCTCAGATCCCCATATTTTTGCTACAAGTTAACACCCAGCTCATCAAAATGTCTGTATATGTCTGTATCATTCTTCCCCACTATGATCATGCCCAGTTCAGCCATAAGTTACTTGCTGACCCCGTTGTAGAGCCCCGAAAAGATCGAGGTTGCATCGCCTCAGAGCTTTCTGAGGGTGAACCGCATCCTCGAAGGTACAGAAGAGCATTGCATGGACGAGCTGCGTTCGGTCGAGAATGTGCAGCAATCAAGACCAAAGTGTTGGCTTGTACCAATGGTCTTATCGACCCGACAAGGCGCACCATGGTCGAGTTCTCCACCGGAAGTTCTGGAGATGCAATGAATGCATAGTCTGTTTGCAACAGCAAGAGGTCAAGTTCCAGATATGTTTGCTGGCGTGACAGAGATGGTGCAAGGAAAGGTGAACAAGGCAGGCAGTGCCAGAAGACCAAAGTCAAAGAATTCATCCTCCTCTTGTCTGTCATCTGCAGGATCAAAGGAAACTGATCATGTGTGAGAAAATGATCACAGACCTGAAGAAACTTCAAGTCCAAGTCTATCTGGTGGTAAATTTCTCCTTTTCTGCATCTCTTTGGGAGTTGCTACGGGATGATCCTGGAAATGAGAATGGATGGTTACCAGGTCATTACCCAGTTGCTAAGCATAAATCATCGAACTTTTCATACCCTTGTTTCTATACCCCCGGTCCTCCAGTCATGACCCAGTCGTCATGACCATGACCCTTGTATTGAAACGTGACCTGCAGGTGACCTGGGTGACCTCCCCCCCAGCTCCAGCTGCAAGTCATTCGCCAGCTGCTGCGGCGCCAAACACTGCGCCGTCACCGCGCCCAGCGCTGCGGACAAAAGGCAGCTGAAAAGCGCAAGGAGAAAACGCCTGACACGACGACTGCCCAAAGTTTAGATCAACCATCAATCAACCGCCATAAATCATAATTAAAAAAGGTTGATATACATATACATATATATATAGCAATATGAATCAAATATTACTTACTGGTGCTTAGCAGGGAATGAGGGAATAATCCATAATCACTAGTAATAATCATCCCATTCCCCCATTCCCTACTAAGCACCAGTAAGATTAATCAGCCATAAATCAATCAGTTAACCTACTGAAGTAAATCAAACTACAAGGTGAGGCCAAAAAATAACGAAATCCCTCACCTGTTGGGGATATGGCCATTGAAGCAACAAAAGTTGTGGCTGGTTTTAAAGGGGGTGGATATATTTGGATAAATGATATCATAATCATATTATATACATATGTACATATATATATATAACTAATCTACATTGAATGATTTAATGGAGGTCTCAATGGGATCATTGAATGCCAGAAACCATGACACTAACGATTTGGGGTCCTTTTAAATCATCCCCAATAGAGATCTACGCAATGTTAACCATCAATTGGTGTCATTGATTATTGGATTGTCCGCAGCACAAAATTTGTGATTTTGTAGAAGCCATGTTTTTTCAAGTCTTGTTTCTGAAAAAAGAACTTGATGGTCTTGGAACGTAACATTTGGGATGAAAATAGAGGGGAAATGATTTGTTTGGGGAAAAAATGGTTTTGCAATAATGGTAAAAAAATAGATATACTGTATGGTTTACCATTGTACTCATTAATGTTTTACATATGGTATATCTATATATTTATTACGGCAATAGTTTGGTAATGAAAAATATGACACGTTGTGAGCATATCTAAGGTGTTGGGATGACTAACTCCAGCAACATCACTACTGTTTTCACCTGACTCTTCTCAGGTTTGCACATCTACTGACCAGCACTATGTTAGGGAGTTACTGTTACGTACTGCAAATCAGTCTACATATATATATATAACTACATGGTAAGCGGCTCACAGAATGCCGCCTGTTTTTCCGACCAAGGCAAGCTCATTTTGTCTGTGTTTTCTCAAGGATTTGTGCTTTGTTCCCTTAGACTCTCTGAAATCCTGCGACAAACTACTTCGTTTTTTCCATTTCCTGTAAGACTGTAGTTCTTTTGATTAACAGATTCAATAATCGGGAATTTCCAGAGCGTGTTAGAAGTTACTTGAAGAAGTGCAGAGCGTAGCATCAAGAGCGTCTTAGACGCAGTGTGAACATGACGTTATTACCCACCCCACCCCACCGTACCGACACAGAAAACGCAAGAAAGCTGGCGGCGTTCTACAAGCCGCCAGCCAACTTGAACAGAGAATTTGGGCTCTTAAATCTGATGAACACTCCTGAGCACTGATCAGCACCTTTTCACTCAGTCAGCTCGAAGGTAGCTGAAAGCACTAAAATGGCTGCAGCACATATACAAACATATATGCTACATGTGACATAGTCTACACTGTACACATATCTGATCACGCCTCCCGAGCCTGTTTAAAACGGCGCTCCCGTCCAATTATTTGAACTAGGCGAGTTTAGATATGTACAGCTACTCACAGCCACGCTCAAGCCATCTATGCTCTCAGTGTCAGGTGATGCTCACCTTCCAGAAAGTGAAAGTTCATATTCCGCAGTGCCTTGTTCATTTTCTCCTCTATGACGGGTTTCGTCAAGACGTCGGCAAGCATATCGCCAGTGTCGACCTTCTTCAGCCGAAAGTAGCGCTTGGCAACGCGGTCTTGTACCCAATGGTATTGAGTATCCACGTGCTTGGCCTTGCCTAGTCCTCTGCGAGAACCCATTGCTATTCCTGCACTTGCGTCCATGAAAACTTCACTCTCGGGTTGCAAACCCCAGTCTTTGGCGGTTGAAACTTCTCCCAGCAAATTGCTGGCACCGCTCACAAGAGCGTAATACTCACTCTCTCCAGACGAAAGACTGACTACTCCTTGTCCTTTAGAGTAAGTCTTGATACAACAACCTCCGGCCATCAGGACGCCTCCTGACACGCTCTTCCTCGTCTTCACGCAACCAGCGTGGTCAGCATCAGACCACATCACAAATGGACTGAGTTTGCTCTGATGAGGAAAGAATTGTGCCATGCGTGGTCGATACCTTAGGTATCGTGCAACTCGTTTGAGCATAAGCATGTGGCTGGTAGTTGGTCGTTGTAGCCCTTGTGCTAAAGATCTTGTCGCTACTTGCAGATCTGGTCGATCTTGTGCCAAATAAGCTGCTCGCATTGCAACTGATCTGTACTGGGTTGCTTCTTCATCATTGAGAAAAACAGTGGCGTTCTTGAGGTCTTCCACTGAACCCTTGGCAAGTGGTGTCTTGACTTTGGCTCCTCGGGGACCATCTCCGAGTAAATCAATCACCAACTCTGCATGACGTGCATCTGGTTCCCACCAAATTCCATTCTCCTTCCATGTGATAATTCTGTTCAGGACTCTGATGTCCTGGATGGTGTTTGGTGTTCCTGGTGGTCCTAAAATACCACGTTCCACACATTTCCACTTCTTCGACAGCTCTTCATGAAGCCATTTGATGTTGTCAAATGTTCCGGCTGTTGTAAAATCATCTCCATGTACAACAGTTCTGAGGTCTCGGCCTGCATGGTAGTAAATGCATGGATTGCTTTTTCCTTGCTTGAAACCTAAGGCTAACATAACCTTCTGTATTTGCAACTCCCAGTTGAGAGGTGCGTCTCTGGTTCCATACAAAGACTTGAGCAATCTTCCTACCACATCTTCTCCAGGCTTCTTTGCTTCTGCAGGAAGTTCCACATAGATCTCACGCGTCGCATCTGAGTAAAAGTGGGCGCGTTTCACATCCAAAAATCCTAGAAGTCTACGCTTGCGATAGGCTTCCTTGACAGCTTTTCCAGCGTCTGGCAACTGAAACGTGACGGCTATTGTAACTAGCATCTTCAAAGCCGACAAACTGGGCATAGCTGCGAAGAACTCATCAAAACCTGAGCCCTTCTTGACTTCTTGAGCTACTAACCTACTTCTATAAAGTGGATTCTCTTCATCCTGCTTGTTGACATCTACCCATCGTGTTCCAATGGTGCGTACCCCTTTGGGCATCTTGTGTCTGGGAATCTTTTCCCAAACTGGAAAACTTTCGATGATTTCGACCTCATCTTTTCTGGCTTGTTCTACACCTTTGCTGTCTAAAATCTTTCCACTGATATCATCGTAATAATACCATGTGGCTGCTTCATCTTCCAGTTCTGGTGGAAGAGGAATTGTCTCTTCACAAACTGGCTCTTCTTCACCTTCAATGGACTGAAGGTACTTCTCCCGATCTTCCATGATCAGGTTCATAAGACATTGGTCTATGTCATCCATGTCTTCTGGTCTCTCATTCTCAGGTGGCCGTTTGGTGCCCTTAGACGCCTGAGCTGAAGCAGCTCGGCTGTCCTTGGACTTTGACGTTTCGCCTCCTGAGTCTGCAGGTCGTTTCCGACCTTTGGTTGGAGACATTTCCAACCTTTTGTGTGCTCTTTCTTCTTGCTCGCCTCCTGCCCTCTTGGCTGAGGCTGTGCTTGCGCTTGCGCTTTCTGCAGGTGGATCTGCAGCTTGTCCGGTAGCAGGACTCTGCCTCGCGATAGCAGGTCCAGCTGTTGGCAAACTTGGAGCAGATTCCCCTGTGGCTGAGTACCACAGTTCAGTGACGATATCTGCGTCATCAATCAAAGGCGCGTTGATGACTTCATCTCCTAAACTAGGATCCATTGGTTCAGACTTGATAATGTTTCCTGTTTTGAAATCTCTGGTGACTCTCCACCAGACATTATCCCAACTGGGACCTTCTGGCATAGTACCCTTGAGATACCTTGCATTCTTGTCAAGGCGCGCAAACACCTTAAAACCGTGAGGAACTTCTTGTGGTTTCTCACTTGAATACCCATAAAGAATCTTTGTGCCTTCTTCGGACACTTCTTGTTTCTGACCAGTGATTTCAGAATCAACCTTGGCCGTATGTTGGGCTACTCTCAGGTTGCCCTCTTCTGCTTGAAGCAGACGTTCCATCCTTTCTCTGCAGGCTGGAGTGTGATGAACTCCAGTGCCTCTTTTGCCAATTCTAGTGGCATCACAGGCGACACAACCAGCGGTGTAGCCATACTTGTCCAAATCACGTTTGGTGATGTAAAGTCGTCTTGTCGACTTCTTTGGTGGCTCAACTGGCACTGATGGCGCCAGTGGCTGCTGATCTCCCCCAACAATCTGAGGAAGCAAAACATCATCTCTTTTTGATGCTTGAGGATCCCAGGGAACCCCAGTGACTGACATCAAAGTTTCGACATCATATCTGTCGTCAGCACTCTTGCGTCGAATGCTTTGCACAGTGAAAACACCTGATGCATTTCCCACTATCTTCTCAGTGGTATTGTCTTTGACTCCCAAGAAAACTCCTTGGTGCCATCTTTGTTCAAACTTGTGACCTCTTTTGAGGAATTCAATTGTTTCCCCAAATGGTGGTAATGACACTCTCCACTCACGACCACGGTGTCTAGAGTACGGTGTCTTCCCATCTTTGACTTCCAATGATCTGTGAAACAAATTGTAAGTGGTGCTAGCATGTTCAACCAACCATGTCAAAACTGGGTGGTCGTCTGGCACCTTTCTTCCATAGCTTGTCTCCAAGGCACTTCTGAGTGTCCTGGATTGAGATTCAATAGCTTGAACTGCTCTTTCAATTTCCCCTTTGGATTCTGAGACTCCTTTGGGAACTTTTTCCAAAACCAACTGTTTGTCAAAACCTTACTTGGCTGCCTCAACTACGGAGTTGAGTGCAGGCTCTGGGTCATACCTCATGACCATCTTGGGGTACCCAAACTTCTTAAGGTCATTCAAAAGACACTTAGATCCAATAGGACCTTGGGTAACTCCCTTGTACGGCAAAACGTGCGCGTAGGTCAACTTGGACCATCGATCATGTACTATCAAAACTGGTGCATGCTTTTTCTGCACTTCTTCTGTGATGACAGTGTCATCCACTGAATTCATGAAACAATAGTCAGCTGAGATCACAGGAACTGTTTCATCTGAATGATCTACTTTGACATGTCTCATTGCCTTTGCCTTACCTCGAATGCAATGTTCACACCAACTCCTAAAAGGATAATGGCTGACAAAATGCTCTTCTTTTTCTCTCTGCGTCGGCGCTGCTGCAGTTGGTAGCGCTTGAGAACCTAGCTTACTACTGCCCGGTTCATCATCTCCACTACCTGCGCTCTCTGTGGTCTCCACAGGACTTACGCCTTCAACCCTTCTGTGGGCTGCCCATGAAAATCCATGGCTATCTTGAAAACTCCTCCAGTCATGGTGACTGGAACCTTCTTGGCTCCCCTTTGCAGAAACGATCCATTGGGGCCGAAGGTTACTGTCCAGCCTTTCTCAACCAGCTTGGACACAGACAACAATGGCTTTGCAACATCCATTGCCCGGAACTGTCCCACACCTTTGACTTGTGGGCCTCCTTTCTCACCCATGGTCACCATAGGGTTGCACACCCCATGCACCTGGACTGGCTGCCCTGATGCGTTGGTGAACGGCTTCTCATCCACAGGTGTCATAGCCAACTCCAATGACTGTGCCAATTCCTTGGGTAGGCAACTGGTTGCTGCCCCTGAGTCAACGGTGGCCCAGACAATGGTATCCACCTGAGATGCCAAACTTCCCAGGAAGTCGAGGTTGGAATCAGATCGAACTCCTCCTCTTGGTGAATGCTTCCTGGGCTTGGGAGATGGCGTTTTCTCCCTCTTCTTCCTGGCTTTTCTTTCCATGTAGTTAGCTGCATCACGCACCGTCTTCTCCAGGAATCTCTTGGTGCCCATGCTGAACTTTCCCTTGCCCTTGGACGCCTGGGCTGAATCAGCCCGGCTGTCCTCAGGCGCTCTCGATGGGGATTTGGACTTCAGCTCGATGGGTGCTCTGGGTGCCTCTTCCTCTTCTTTCTTTTCTTCTTCCTCTTTCTCCTCGACCTTCTCTTTCTCCCCTGGCCTCTTGGGGATCTTCTTCACCTCGGGCTTCACTTCATCTTTGCCCTTGTGCCTGAAGCGCTCGTAGTGCTCCTCAAAGCTTTGCTTGCGCTTCTTCCTTTCTTCATCCTTGGCAATCTCTTGGCGCCTCTTCTCATCTTTGGCTTCTGCATCATCCATGGGGCGCTTCTGGGATGATTCTCCTTCTTCTCGTGCCTCTCTCTCTGCCTTTACCCGACGATGTTCTTTCTTCCAAAACTCCAGGGCATACTGAGGATAGCATTGCTTGTTCTCCACATGTTGCCAAAAGCTTGCAACGCTCGCGGAGTTGAGTGCCTTTCCACATGACTGGCACTTCACATAGGGATACCCTTTGTTGGAGACAGTTTTGCACTTCTCATGCAACTCCTTGAATGGAATGGGTCTTCGAAAGGAATTCTGCCAATGCTCGACCACATCCTCCATGCCTGGTGCTGGCTCCTGGTTGTAGGGCAAATCGTCTGGATCTGTCTCATCAGAAGATCCTAGGTCAAGAACTTCACCATAGGCTTTCTCGTAGGCTTCCTTCAAGACGTTGTCCAACTTGCTGAGGACTTCAGGATCGGTTTTCAGCTTTTCAAGTCTGCTGACAAACTCATATCCTTCAGAGGAAATGCTCTCCTCAGAGGAAATCTCACACTTGTCATGGATCCATTGTGGGATCTCATCCTTACTCATCTCTTTCATCTTTTCCTTATTGGCCTTCCTTGCTTCATCTGCTCTTCGTCTTTCAGACCTGTGATGTCCTCCTCTATGGCGCTTGGGTTCCAGCTTTCTTGCTTTGGGAGGTTCAGGAAGATCTCCCATGTCATCCTTGTCCCACTTGTCAGGGTTGGCCTGTCCAAAGGTGGCCAACTCATAGCGCTTGAAGCTGGATGCTCTTTGTCCAGCAGTGGCTGCTCGATGACTGGCAGCTCTCTGCCTGTCCTTCTCCTTCTTCTTGGCAGCTCTTGGATGTACTCCAGCATCAAGGTCGGCTTGCATCCGACGAGAGGGTGCAGCCGGTGCTGAAGCAGCACGGCCTTCTGCCCTCACTTTGGCCATTGCCTCTTTGGCCTCTTTGTGATGCTGGGCTGCCTCTTTCTTCAACTTGTCCAGGGCTTCTTGGCGTTCCTTAAGAGCTTGATTTGCTTGACGCCCTTTGTCCTGAGCTTCTTTGACAGCGCTCTCAGCCTGAGCAATCATCTTGCCAAACAGCTCCTTGTTAGACCCAGAAGCTGATGCCAAAGCGCTCTGAGCCATGACGATAGCGCTCCTGGTCACAGTGCTCCTTGAAGGTGCTTGAAGGTTTGCTCGTCTTGGGCTTCGACCACGACGAGAAGATTCATCTCGAGCTTCAGACTTGGGTGGCATAGTGTCTTCCAAGGCAAACAGCGCAGTGATCTCTGGTTCAGGTTGATCACCAGATGAGGCTGCAGGTTGTTGCTCTTGAGCCCAAGTGTCAGACTCAACATTAGCAACTTTACGACCTTTGCCTTGATCCCCTTTTCCTTTACCTTTGTCTTGACCTTTCTTACCTTTGCCTTTGCTCTTGGAGTCATTGGTATTCTGTTTAGACCAAGACTGCTGATTCCAAGATTGATTGTTCCAAGACTGATTGTTCCAAGACTTGTTGTATGAATTGTTTGACCAAGACGAAGACTGACTCTTTCCTTTGTCTTTACCTTTGGACTTACCTTTGCCTTTCCCTTTATCATGTTTTCCTTTTCCCTTACCCTTAGCAAGGGAATCCACATCCATGGGAACGGCTCCTGACTTTGCTTCTTTCCTGGTCTCGACGTTCTCAAGGTAGGCCAAAACTTCAGCTTTCACCTGGTCATACGTGGTCAATCTCGAAGCCTGCAAGTCCAAATGATCTTGCAACTTGTTGGGACACATCTGCTGCAAGCAACTCCTGCAGATGTCATCTTCAAGTGGTTTCTTTCTCCTGTCTTCGTACTTTCTTTTCAAGTTCTCCCAACTCTCAAGCCCTTCTCGAAGCTTATCAAGACTGCATTGACTTGGATGCAGAACCTTTTTCAACAAGGCTGAATTGGCTTGAGGATTTTGAGGATCATATTTGCACAACAGTCGTCTCATGGCTTCTAGGCCAAAGTGGCTACCACGAGATGTGTTCTTGACAATTTCCAACGCTTCTCCCTCAGTCAATGATATGAGGGCTTGTCTAGCCTGAGCTGAAACTAGCTCGGCGCCTTCATCAAAGTCTACTTCTAGACTTGACTCAGTGATCTCTTTGTCACACTGAGATTCAACTTGTGCCACAATCTTCACAGCATTCTTGTGGCAACTTTCAACCCATGTCTTAAACTTGTACCACCAACTATCCCAAGTGCCTGATGCTCCAGTGAACTTATCAGGTTTTGGTATGCCTTTCAACTCTGATCTGTCTTTGTACTCAACAGATCTCTCAACATTTCTGTTGATCTGAAGCTGCTGGTTCATAGCCTCGGTCATTGCCTGGCTCAACTGCGCCTGACCCTGAGTCAATTGGGCCATCATCTGCATAACCATCTGGGACATGTTGGGACCATTGCCTTGTGCTTGTTGTGGTGCTGGTGGAGTGCCTGGTTGCTGAGGTGGCTGCTGTTGCTGAGCCATCCTTAGTCGTTCTTCAGGTGCTTTGAGACCTGATTCAAGAGAACCCTTGGATACTGTTGAAGATGCACTCCCAGGTTATGGAAGTACCTTTGGAGTTTCCTGATTTTCAGGAGCTTGAGTGTCAACCTTTTCCAGTTGGCACTGGGTAGGCGCGCCAGAGCTGATGCAGCTCGGCGTTGACACCTACACATTCACAGCTGGGTATCAGAACCTCAGCTCCGCTACCATGAACAGAGAATTTGGGCTCTTAAATCTGATGAACACTCCTGAGCACTGATCAGCACCTTTTCACTCAGTCAGCTCGAAGGTAGCTGAAAGCACTAAAATGGCTGCAGCACATATACAAACATATATGCTACATGTGACATAGTCTACACTGTACACATATCTGATCACAACTACATAATATATATATATACCTAATTATATATATATATATGTGTATGTATATGTGAGTATACACACATGTATACATCTATCATGCACATGACCATGCTGTGTTTGGCATATAGATATGGATCAAACTCGGGCCCCGATGTGCCCCCTATTTATGCCCCAATTTGTTGTTTCCCCAATGTCTACCATCGATTCCCTACTGTTTCACTTGTTCCATCATCTATTACCAAATCCTTCCCCAAAGTTCACATGTTTGCCCCCATCATAGGTTCTTGATATCTGTTGCCCGAGGCTGGGTCAAATCTTAATCCAAAGTTCCCTTTGAGTGTATGCACATTGCATAATTCACAAATGGATGCTGTGGCGGCCCAAGCAAAAAGAAGACCCAAAATCCAATCATACAGCCATTGTGTATCATGATTTTGTTGAAGACTAAAAGTGATTTAATGGAATAATCCAATCATCCAACTAAAATCATCATGTTTTTCCCTAGTCCGTCATCAGTTCCAGCCCACCTGCGAGGCAGCAAGAGATCCATGACCTGTGCGAATGGGTTTTTTTGTGTCACATCGCCATTTTTCTTGACTTGTCACCTGTGGATGATGACTGTTTCCCCATGAAAACTCAGGTGACTTTAATGAAAAATGATGAGATCATGAGGATCTAATGATTTTCCATTCAACATGGGCGATTCTTGTTTCAGCATCAGACATGGTGGTGTTTGATGGTGATTTTTTTCGCATCAAACATGGTGGTATTTTCTGGGGAATGGGTGATTTATAATGGGTGAAATGGGTATTGTAGGTATCAAACTAATGGCTGGCAATGGGAGTTCCAAGAACGAAGAGGTCATCTATATGTGAGACAATCCCCGAACCAAGGGGAATTTTCTCGAGTGCCATGGATGACACCGGAGTGTTTATAATTTGTGTAAACCAGTAGAATTCCAATGGTAGGGGGATCATATTCCAATTGGAGGATTCAGGATCCATATCCATATGGCTGTGGGTCAAAATCCCGATGCCCTACTTTAGGCGTTGATCCATCCCCATGTTTGACAAAATCTACGATATCTTTAGGCTATACTTATGTGTGAAATGAATAGTAAGAATTCATAACATGAGACATAAAAATCCATCTTAGTATATACATTTATATATATATATACATATTAGATTTTATATACTATATAATTTATATAATTTATATATTATATATACACTATAATATTAGATAAATGTTATGCCATATCTAATAGATATCATATGTCCCCCACCTGTGGCGTGAAGAGCCGCCGGAAGTCCACGTCCTCATCGTCGCACCAGGCCATACGACCGCGACCGCCTGGAGACGGTTTTCGGCGGGACCTAGCGAAAAAGGCCGGTTTCTTGGGGATTTCACCAGGAAAAATATGGGAAAAATGGTGAAAAATGATGGTTTTAGGGGTTTTATAGCAGTTTCCCTCTGGTCATTTAACATAGCCATGGAAAATGGCCCATAGAAATAGATGGTTCACCTATTAAAATGGTGATTTTCCATGGCTATGTTAAATAACCAGATGGTAAATCAATCAACAATGGGATTTCGACGGTTTCTGAAAATCTGGGGGTTTTATAGCCCAAATCTCGGGCAAAAAAACAAGAAAGATACCAGCAATAGTAAGCAGCAGAATTGAGGATTTAAAAAAAAAAAAACGTGTAGCCTCTGGTCGTCAAAGCTGATTGGTTCGAAAATCCCCTGTTCTTGGAAGATCATCTATCAATGGGGCATTTTTTCCTGGTGGCAGGGGAACCTCACTCATTGAAAAGGCGGATTTTCCAGCCAGAAATAGTGGCTCGGCTAGTTTATGAAACGTTTCCGCAGTTGTTGATGAATTCCTCGGCATGGCTGTATGGCTATGCGGCTATGCCTCAAACATCTCAGACCATAAAAATGGATGGTTTCAACATAAAGCCATCCGCAAAATTTCTTCGTCTTGTTGACAAAAACATCACTTTCTTCATGAACTCATACCCTGATATCATGGTGAAGGGCTCTCAGAACCTGTGGTCTTGAGCCATCGCTACTGAGTAGGTTCCCCTTGAACCAGCTCTGGTAATCTGTCCTGGCAAGATCGGAGATCTATGGAAAGCCGAATTTCCCAGAATTTTCCGTTGACATTGGCATTTCCCAACCAGCTGTGTTTCGTTGCCAATTCGACTTTCCTGCGTCTTTCCCTTGTACATATAACTTATATAACCCCATCTCTCCCTTCGTATGAGCCCATGTCAACCCATACAAGCCAGCAGGACACCCCATATCAATCATTTACCCCTAAAAAAAAAACTTATTACAAACTCATATCAAATTAGTATATATAACCCGTATCAAATACATATCAAAGCCACCTAAATGTCGTCAGCTCCCCCAGCCTTCATCGCTTTTTCCGTGTTGCGCCACGAAGCAACGCAGCAGCTCCTGGCGAAGCCGAAGCCATGGCCGTTGACCAAAAAAAAATGGGTGACTTCCATGGCAAGCTGGGAGAGAGTGCCAGAAGTATATTATATATATAATATTAATTAATTACCCTCTGGTTATTTAACATAGCCATGGAAAATGGCCCATTTATAGATGGTTTACCTATTAAAAATGGTGATTTTCCATGGCTATGTTAAATAACCAGAGGGTAATATATACAGTATATACACACACATAGTATGAATCAGCGTGTACGAATGAATTCTCTTGCCTCTACATGGTTCAATCCCAGATAATCCCAGCATGTTTGATGGATCAACCAGTCCAACCCTGTCCAACCCCTCCAACCAACCAAAGGTCATGGGGAATCAGAACCAGACTTTTGGACGGCCCTCCAAATTGGCCATTCTTGGTAGGTGGTTCTTGGTAGTAGAGATTCGACCAAAACGTCAGCTCTCATTGGCTCCAAGTTAGATGATCAGAATCATGGTATTCTCCAATGATCAGAATCATGGTATTCTCCAATGATCAGAATCATGGTATTCTCCAATGACCAAAGCAATGTGAATCCGGGGAATTTTTCTCGTTTTCGACCCGAAAATGTGAGTCCCAAGTTGTCTGAAAAGAGGGTACCCCTAAATCCATCGGATCGTGATCGTTTATTAAAATTACCATGGCTGGGGTTGCCCCATTTTCGGACACCCAAATGTATCAAATACGTTCAAAGATCATAGTGTTGATTGGCTTCAATCCCATAAGAATCACTATATTCATCTATATTTCCATAAAATTGTTGATTTTCCCATGAAAATCACCATCAAATTGTTGTTTTTTGACCCCTTTTTCACCATCAACACACCGTTCGCCCAGGTGAAATTGCAACGACCCCCGCAACGACCCAGTCTCCAAAGACAAGCCGAAGGAGAAGTTCAACGCTGCTCCCATGAGAAGTCTGCAGGAAGGATGGGAAGATCATCAAAATCCCATGGTCATTCCATGAAAGACTGCTTGGTGAAGAACGGGATTCCCCGTTCTTGAAATATAAACAAAGCCCCAATATATAAAGGGTAGTATAATCCCCGAACTAATCATCAACCAACAGGGGTTTTGAACACTGCTCATCTGTAGTTTTGCCCCTCAATAGCAGGGCTCGCTATAACTCAAACATAGCCATGTATCCGTCTCGAGATTTCAGGGCAGGGAATAAATCTTATTCAACTGCTAAAGATCTTGATTGGAATCTAGTGGAGTCTCCCAGATTTAAAACCGTTCAGGATATTTAGTAAGTCTATTTCTGGTTGGTGGCCCTCAAAAACATGCTCTTCAGTTGGGATTATCATCCAATTCTAGGCATGAAAATAGAACATGTATGAAACTGTTTGGAACCACCAACCAGATCATCTTTGGTTGCATCCACATCGTCGTATCTCCCCATGTTAATCTTATCCCATTGATTAGTCGTATCCCATCAAACATCCCCCGAACATATCCCCATATGTGTGTATGTATAGATATAATATATATATATATGTAAATACTGTTGGTGAAATAACCATCATATCCCCCATTGTCAGCAGCTGCACTCCCCATTGAATACCATTAAACACACATAAATCCGCCATGGTTAACTCACCATAGATCCACCATTTTTCATAATTAAGCCACCATGTTTCATCTGAGGGCTCAACCACCATAAAAACCACCTTGTTTCATGGTTAAAGCACCATTTTCTCACCATGTTTGACGTTGAAACCACCACCAAAAGCCACCGGTTGTTTGCATCCCTTGGCCCGGCCTCAGGTAGGGCCAAACATTGGGTGCTTCGAGATTGAAGGCCAGCAGCGCACTGAAAAAGACAGGGCAGAACCACAGCAAGGCCTGGCCATGGAATCACCAACAATGATTGTAAGGAAATGGGATGTAGATATCTCATGATATAGATATAGGGGTATGGGTCAATACCTATAGATACATTTTTAGTGGGATGAACATCCATTTACCAGCTATTTTATGCTATTTTGGGGTTCACTAGGTACCAGGGTTTTGACCCATCCCCATAGAATATATATAGAATATAGACATAGAATATAGATGTATAATGATATGAAATAGATCGAATATGTATATATATATATATGACTATAAGTAACTAACTATAAAATAATATATGATACTGTACATGGTTATGGGATTCATACACATTTATGCAACCAACAACTAATGGGAAATTAATAAGATTTAATGGGATATAGATATAATGATATACATACATTGATACATATACATATGTATATACATAGAGAGAGAGAGAACCAACTTTAAAATGATATATTATGGGTCGAAACCCAACGGTCCCCTTCTGTTCACACCAACAACTGGCCAAGATCTATGAATGTTCTTCCTTCCAAAATATGGTATTATAGTTTTGACTCATCCCCAACTGGCTATTATCCCATCAAAAAAAACACAAAAATGACGGTCTTAAGGAAAAAAGTGATGATACACCATCGAAATTTTCGGGTACCCTTTTCTCAGACAAAGATGAGGTGATCCCAAGTCCGCCATCAGTTGTCCTATTTGTGGCTCATAACCCCATTTACTGAACAGTTGATTCGTGGGATGAAACTTAGGGCCTTTTTGTGTTGTCTCTTTCTACAAAATTCATATCTGATGCATCTCTGTAAATTGTGAGTAATTACGTCCCTTCCAATCATAGGCTTACCATGGCTTCTTTGACACTCAGCCCGTCCTTGTTGGAGAATTTATTGTTGGTTTCTCTCTTTTTTAGCCATGCCAAAAAAGAAACCTTAGCCCAAACTGCAGGTGACATCCCGACATCGAACCAATTCTGACCATTGCCCTGACCTGAAACAGGTAGACCTTCAGGGTCATTCCAGGGACAATCCTCCACCGTTCGCTGCGAGCGTGATGAAAATCCATGTCATTTCGAAGTGGGACAAACGACCGAAGACACCACATTGATATCTTGGTATCATTTACCCTCTGGTAAACTAACATAGCTATGGAAAATCAACATCTTTAATAGGTAAATCAATCAGAAATGGGTTGTTTTCTATAGCTATATTAAATTACCAGAGGGTAATATCCAGATCTAGGACCTTTCACACCACAACTCTCACAGCAAGACCATGCCATGCCATTTTAAAAAAAAAAATGTGTGTTTCTGGACATGGGCTTTTATTTTTTCCCTCCAACTTATGACATTTTCAATATAATGATGAACCATGATGAACCAATGGATTTGGTGTAAACCCAATTTTTTTGGGGTTTTGACAGCGCCTTTTCGAGAAGTCTAACTCAAATTTACGTTGATTCTTGGGGGGAAACTCCACATAAAACCATGGGTTTTACCATCAAGATGGGGGGGAACGCTAAGAATTTGCCATTCAACATCATTGAACCACTTCAGGGAAGATATCAAATACCATCAGATATCGGCAAATATCATCAGATGTTGAACATCAGATATCATATATATATAATATATACATCAGATATCACTGGCCATTGAACATCAGGCATCAAATATCATCAGATAAAGGAAACCAAAGTTGGTTGGCTGTTTAGCCAACGGCCAGTGGCCTGGGGCCAGCTTCATTGTGATGATTTATATGTAAAGATCTATGGCAGCCCATGTCAAGATTCTCAAATCCCATTACAGTAAGTATATGGATAATCATAGTTGTAACTATTATAATCATGCTCATCATTAATTGTAATGGAAAAAAATAACCACAATAAGTGTTCTTGCTATCATTATGCTTGATAATAACCATCATAATATTATGGGGCAGCTATTGTTATATCATACCCTCTGATAAATTAACATAAACCTGGCAGTTAGGGGTTGGAAGATTCGTGAAACCACTAAAAATGAATGATTTTCAGGGTCGAACTGTTAATTTACCAGAAGGTAATAGTTATTATTAGTTATGATCAATAATATTCATAATAACTATCATTGTAACTACTATAACTATTATGGGACAGCTATTCTTAATATCACAACAGTTATCAGAATCGTAGTATCGCCAGTTGTGAGTGGTTTCACTAGTCTATAGGACAGCTATTGTTATATCATAACCATCATAACATTATTCTGAAGAGTATTATCATCATAATAGTTATATTCAACATAACTCTCACTAATTCTTATAACATTCTTATAATCATCACTATATTGTTAGTTATTGTTAGTTATATCATAATGGCTATTATTATATCATAACCCCCAATAAAAATATCCCTATAGCTATATAATCATATACAACATATATAGCTATATACCATTGTTATATCATAATAGTTATATCAGTTATATCCCCATGGGTCCTATGATCCATCCCGTCGCTCCTGCCACCCCCCAGCACCGTGCTCAAGAAGCGACGCCAAGCCTGTGAGGCCTCGAAAAAAGGTGGGGAAACGTGCCAAAAATGTGCCCAAAATGTGGGAAAATGAAAATGTAGGGACCATGTAGGGAAAACATTTAAAAAAAATGGAAGTTGTATCATGGAATATGATGATGGAACCCATCAACATGCGCGTTTTCTCATTCACAAATGGCGATGTCACCTACAAAATTACGGTAGTTGCAGCTTGGATTCACCGTGGATGTTGTGTCAGAAGTGATGAGCATGGCATGAGGATCCCTTTTGATGCTCATTCAAGTTCCCTATTCACGAAGTGCATGCTCATCCCCAATTAGTGGACTATGGAGCAATTATAATACTAGCTATTCACATGTCCAATCATCGTCTCTCGCAACTAGGTGTTGTTTTCACTGGATCGCTAACCTCATTCCCAACCAATATGATGCATGCAGAAACTAACATTTCTTTGTCATACCCTAGAGCCCTAGAGGGTGGGGCCCCATTTACGATAGCTACGTTGACTTATAAATTGTTTAAGTAAGGTTTACGGATGATATAACTATATATAACTATAGTAACCGTAGTATTCATTGGGGTTCAAAAAAATCTGCATCCTAAATCCCACAAGAAATCGTTCTTCGGGTCGGTGACCAGTAGTGACCAGTAGCATCATTTGGAGCCAGGACCACACCTGGCCTTATCAGCCGCCGTTGTTTCAAGCACCCTTACAGTGACGAAAAAATGGAGTAATGTGGGTAAAACAATGGAGAAATGGTGATGTTTATTGTTTTACCCACATGAAATAAAAGTGAATTTAGGAGTCGAACAAGACCTGATTGATCTCCATGTTTGTTGGTGAATTCCCATATTTATCAGCTAAAACAACATTTTTGTAGCTTAAATCTGCTCTTTTGTTGGCTAAGCCCCCGATTGTTGTTCGCTAAGTCACCATTCTCATTGACGAATTTTTTCGTGTTTGGGTTGACTCCCCATGTTTATTCCTCAATCACCTGTCTTGTTCCATGGAAATTCCCATGTTCATTGACCAAATTTCACCATTTTGCTGGGTGATGTCCCCAGTTTGCGCACCTTGGCATCGCTGATGAGAGGTGCCACGTCCAGCGGCTCCTGTGTTTCAGGGGACTAAGTGGGTAGCCCCAGCTGTAAGAAGGCTAGGGTTCCAGTGATAACTGGGGTGGACTAACCACAACTAACCACTTGATGTTAGTAAGTGATTGTGGAAAAAAATCTGGTGTATTGGGTCATTTATTCATTTACCGATTGACTAATCAATTCATTCATGCGTGTATAAATATGTATATATGTTATATGTACGTGTATCTACATGTGCTCAATGCAGAGAGAGGTAGATAGAATTATAGATGTAAACATAAATACGTGTATGGTTTGCTGAATTACAATAATTTTCTTTCGTTATCTATCTATTCATTTACCTACTGAATTGATATATTCGTTTATGATGCAAAACATATGTACATATATCATATACCTATACAAAAAATATCACAGGTATGTGCGTGTGTGCGGGTCTGTGTGTCGGTCAGAATACCTGTACTCGCCAATGAGATCTAGGATATGCTGGGATGTTTTGGGAGTTCCTGTACCGTTTTGTGTTTTTATACTATACTGCTTATATAACTACCATCACCCAGCCCCAGGAACTCAAGGAAAATCTATGAAGTTTGTCCTCTGCAAGGATGGAGTCTTTCTGCTACACCAGAAAAAATGAAATTAAAGCAAACTACATTAAGGTAATTCTGGAATAGTTACCCTTACTAGCTATCACTTTATATAGTGACGTTGGGGCGACGTCACTTTTTGACTCAGATCTCGTACTTGTTTGGTGATGCTGCCATTTTCCTCCTTGAAAGTGCTTATCTCGGAATTCGATGAAGGGACCGTTTGCAGGGAAAAAAACACCTTCAAATATGTTCAATAGTCAAAACTCAAAATCAAGAAACGTAGACAGGGTTTCCAATCCTGAAATTAACAAACCCAACATTGTCCGATGATTGCTACTCATCACCCCATCCCCATCCTCCATGGCTTCATCGAGCCAGACGTCTCTGTGGTTGTGCCGATTCACGCAGAACGGTTCGGGCGGAGACCCAGTAGCCAGGTATGTACTTCCGACGATTTTGGGGAAGGTGTGGCTAAAGTTCTAGGTGAATCTCTTTGTCTGCCTGCCTCCACATCCCGGGAGGTGTGAGCCCTTCACAGACCCCATCTTTGATTAGGTGACTTTTTCGAAATTTGGGAAGCAGGAGTCACACATCGGAACGGAGGTGTTTTCTATCTTCGAAACACAGTTATGGCTATGGCTAGGTTCTTGGTTGCAATGCATCCAGGCTTGGTTGGATGTGCCCATTCGTAGTATTTGGTGACCCATTGATCTGGGGATGTTCCAGTACATGTAACTGGGTCAACGAATTAGGTAAGTTTTGTCATATCATGTTTTATCTCCATGGAACTCTCTATACAACTGAATCTATCCTATGTTTGAAGCAGCTTCAGTGGTGAGACGGGAGCTGCGTTAGAGCCAAGACCAGCGGAGCCACGGTGAATTCCATGGCGGACTGAGAAATCCCTCAAGGTGTTTAAATCACCCATCTGATGGGGATATTTTATAGGATGTAACCTGAAATATATATATATATATCTATATCTATATATCTATATATCTATATATATATATATACATATATACAATTTATTTGCATTTGTCCCTCACTTGCTTCGAACCATCTATGTGTGATGAGATCGACATGCTGGCAAACTCTGACAACTGAAAGCGCCGGTTTTTTTTTGTCCGGTCGGGATATGCTGGTCACAAACGTCTATCTGATGCCATCGCGCTTCGACGGCTGGGCTAGGCAGTCGATGCGTTCCAAGACTGATTGTAAGCGAGCCACAAAGTCGACATGGGCAGATGGCTAAGCTGTGACTAGAAAAATCGAAACAAAAGGTTGAAGATTGAACATATCAGGACACTTCACCTGAGGAAAGGCACATGCCTGTTTAGGTGAATCTCAGGTGAGAAAAACATGGGTGGGAAAGATGGAGGTGGGACGAAAAATCTCACCAAAATTGCGGTTCACTTGAGCATCAAAACTTCATGACAAAAACATAGATGGATTTCAATCGATAAGCCAACTGATGCAGCATGCCGACATCACAAAACATCCAACATTCTAAATGAAGCATTGGGTTCGAAGACGTATAACTATGTTATGCTCAAGTGATGTTGATGCGACTAAAACTACATCAATTTCGTTGAGTTTCGTCCTGTTTGCATTTGTCCCTCCCTTCTTCGAACCATGTATGTGTGACGAGATCGACATGCTCGCAAACTCTGACAACTGAAAGCGCCGCTCTTTCTTTTTGTCCGGTGGGGATATGCTGGTCACAAACGTCTATCTGATGCCATCGCGCTTCTCCCCTCTTCAAGGATGGCATCCAAACATTGTCGCCACATGGCGCATAGATCCACGCTGGATCTGTCGACACCTAAGAACTTGTGCACCAGTTCCCTCGACAAGACATCGGAAGGGTTGGATTGACTCGGCACCCTTTCTATGCAAGAGATCAAGTTTAATCGCTCTTCGGTGCGGCAGACGTCTTTGATGATCAAGTCCATATGGTCATTGCTGGATATGCACTTTAGCAGGCAAGCTTGGACGGCTTGATTATCTGTAAAGATTATCAACCTTTTCCGTGCAATCCGCTGTCGGAACAAACTGATCCCGGTTGCAAAGGCTAGCCCTTCCAATTCGAAGAGGATGGTCTTCTGATCTTCTCTGCTCATTTCTGAGATCAAAGCAGGAGTAACAACCTCACTGAAGAAGCCCAAACATTTTCCTCGGCAGTCAAGGAGCATTCCACCGACTCCGGAGTGACTTTCAGGCTCAAATGAAGCATCCACATAAAAGTGCACCCACTCGAAGAAGCGAGTGTCGATCAGTCTGGGCTCATTGGCCACTATCAGCTGTGCCAAGGTGAGGAGAGCTCCTCGCAGTTCGGTGGAGATGCGTGTGAAGCCCCTGTTGATATGCATATTGATTTCTTTGAGACAGTTCCTGAGCCTTCTTTTCCGAATAGATAGTTCGGTGCAAACTGCAACCTCCCTCTGAAACACTCGGCATCGGCTTTTGCCAGCTTGTCTTCTTGCAGGACATGCTGGATGATGGCTTGGAGCTCTTCTCTGCGAGCACTAGTGTTGTAAATGCTTGCGATGCCTGACGGGGAGCGAGTAAGGTTTAGTTCGACTCCCAGCACTTTGCAACAAGTCTCATAAAGAACTAACTTATCTTCGGACAGTTTCCATCCCAGCAACTGGAAAAACAGGGAAGTGCAAGTGCAAACGTCACGCAGCAAATTAAGCCAGTGCAAAGACGCATCACGCAGGCCATACAAGGCTTTGTAGAGCAACAAGTAAGCTTGCGATCCGTCAGGCATAGAGACTGAGAGTGGTAGTTTCAGCACGATCACCAGGCCGTGAGGAAGTGGAGAATGCATGAATGCATGGGAAACGTCAAATCCTTTCAACCGAAGAGCTCGTTGAGCAGCAAGAGTGAAGACAAAATGGAGGCCCTCAATGCCCGGAGTTGGACTACTAATTCCCAGTTTTCGTGCAGAAATACCCTTGTTCAGATCTTTCGCCACAATCCTAACTCTGACCCGTGTTTCACTCTTGTATGCTGAAACCCATCTACTTGGAATGACACGCATGAGTGGGTGTTTCTTCTTCAACGCATCAACCTCAGCCTGTCCTATGACCTTTCCAGCACCACATTTTTCCAAATTCCCAATTTCCTCTTTCATTCCTTCAAAACCAAGATCCACATATCAGGTTTCCCCAAAAGTACTTCTGAACCACCAATTTCACCTTCACACATGCGTGGTCCTTTCCCTGTGCTAAACTTGATCGAATTCAGTTCAGCATCAAACAACTCTGGACCTGTGGCTCGTGCATTCTCGGGCCCATGTTCTAAACACCATGCAACAGGTCCTAATTTGTAAGGCATGACATGCATCATCCATGACAAAAAGATCCAAGGGTCATTGGAACTGAAGTTCCAGCGGCACGCTCAGCGGCCATCTCTGATTCAAGATCTTCCACGGATTGTTCCGCATCCCGTTTCACGCCTGAACCTTCAATGTCCATGGTTGGACCAACCTCGTCGGAACCTGCGCCGACCGGAGCCGGGCTCATTTCAGTTTCAAACTCCATATCTTGAACCTCAAGTCTCGGTCTTGCAATATTTGGCACAACAGCAGGAGTTGCAATGGGAGTTTCACTCGCCTCAAATGCAGCTCTCTTCCTCTTACATTCAGCATTATGCCTAATTCCTGCACATCCATTCCAGAATCACATGCAGGTCACCTGGGTGTCTTCAGAAAAACACGCACATCTGACCTAGCAACATCTGGAGACGGAGACGGAGACTTTGGAGAAATACTTAGAGAGGCTTTCGGTAATGCAGGCCCCTCAGCAGTAGATGCACGAATTGGTTCTTGTCGGGCAATTTTCAATTCACCTGGCTTCCTGGGTTGTAATGGAGCGGACTCCACCGGTCTCTTTCGTTGAATTGGAGCCCTGTAACTCGGGTCTGATTCTTTCATCTCTCCCCAAATCACCTGGAGCACCATTGGGACATTCAACAACAACAACATCAGGCATGAGTTGGTTGACATTGGTGTCAGGCAGTCTGGGTCTCTGCATGGTGTAGCTGGTTCGATACGAACTCCTTCACGTGCACGAAGAACTTCACCTTGAGCTTGTCCACCTTCAATCTCACAAAACATTTGATCACCAATGACTTGGTTCCACACAATTGGAGTAATTGGCTTGACATTCCTCGCAACAAAGTGCTTTAGAACTAATTCACCTCCAGTGTCCAGTCGAGAGTGCAAAAAGGAAGCTTCGATGCTTCGGGTTTCATTCGGAGATTGGGCTCGCATGCTACTTGGCAACTCAGCGAGGACACTTTGCCCAAACATTGTAAAAGAAGGTCGAGACAAGTTGCCCTGTGTGGAGCATTACAAGGAGAAAAATCAGTTCCATGAGCCATGAGCTTTGGAGAAATGATTGTGGCTCAACGCACTGTAGGTCACAAAATCATGCAGGCCACGTTCAGTGAAACACACATCCGCACCTCCTTGGTTCATTTCAGCACGCAATACTGACACTGCAAGAGATTCTTTGAGTTGTCGAACGGCTCATTCAGCACCTCCATTGCTTTGATGTTGTTGAAGTCACGCACGGCGAACCAAAAAGGTATACTTGTCAGAGCTAGTCCCAATTCAGAAATCGCACGTTCAGCATCAGTGTGCAGCGCCACGGAAGACGTGGAAGAAGCCGTGGAAGAAGCAAGGCCAAAATTTGGTACATTGTCGAGCACCCAGTGCCAATCCTTGCCATTTTGCCCCCCTTCCCCTCCGGGGGCTGCATCGCTTGGCAATGAGCTGCTGCGATGTTGGGTCCGCCATGACACTGGGTTGATGATATGTTTCGTGGCTCGCTTACTCACACCGGATTTGATGACTCGCAAAAGAACACCTGAGAGGATGCTGAGAGGCGGCTTACCTTTTGTTTATAGGCAGCTTGTGGTGTCACCTGTACAACTTCTCTGTGGAACCTTTTTCGTTGATTTTGATACAACCCATCTTTTTCTGATTAATGTAGTTGGCAGTAGTGTGGGCGTTGGATGCCATCACTGCCACTGGCGGCTGTGATGTGTTGGTTGCGTTGGGCTCCGGCCGCTTTGGTTCTTTTGGTTGTTTTTTCCTTGTTCGGTTTTGTTGTTTTGCGTGGGTCGACACGCATTTCTGACCGCGGAAATGCATTTTTACCCTACGCCTGTGGTTACTACAACCAGTTACTACAACATGGCTTCCATACGACCTGGCGTGGTGGGCTTCGAGTGTCTACCTCCTCTTCGGCCGCCAGAGCCACAGCCCTCATTGCAGTGATTGTCCAAACAGGCTGCGGTTTTCTCAGTGGAGGGCGACGTGGCGCCACCCTTGATGATAGGGAGGACTGCTTTGGGCGGGCGACGGTTGCGTTGAGGAGAGCAATTCAACACACCTATATCGTCTCCCCAGTGGACAT